CACGTGGTTAGAAGGATTGCATTGCCCTTTTTGCCACTGGCCTGATACATAGCAAGTACCGCTTTCATTAGGGGGGTTGAGGGTCAGAGGCACTCACTGATTATGACTGGTCAGAGGGCAAGGTCTTGTCCAGTGTGAAGATTAATCCCCTCAGAGTAGTCAGGTAATTAATGCCCAAAGTAATGAACACATTCCACTGGTCTTATTTTTTATTTTTTTAAATTGTACATAAGACATTAGCATGGTGGCCTTTTGCGCACTATTCCACTGCTCCATTACTCCCGAGCCTCCCCCATATTGACTTAGTCTTTCTGATTGTCAGTCCTGCCGTGGATGTTTCTGGAAGCAGACTACAGATGCATTTTTGTGAATGACCAGAAGTAATGAGAGCAAATGGAGTTTATTTTCATGGCATCTTAAACCTCATTACCTGGCTTCATCTGCCTTTGATCTATTTAATGTTTAATAGAATAGGTAAATGGAAGATGGCTTACTTGTAGGAGCTATGGGCCCGCACATCATTTCTGGCTATAATTTCCATTGTGGTAATATCTGTAGTATGGCGAGTGGATGCTGGATACCTCAGCAGGTCCCAGGCTGAGACTCGTGCGCTCTTGTTTCTTACCTGGCATGGCCTGACACTGTGGAATGACTCCTTTCCCTAATTTTCAGTACCTCCACTTCCAAACATTTCCATCTTAAGTCTCTCATTGTATCTCTTCAAATATGGTCAATGCAAAGGCACTGTTCTCCTTCACGCTCCTGTCTTTTGAAGATGTGTATAGGCATGTGACAGTGTGTGTGTGTAGTTAGAATGCATTATATATGTATGAAATGTCAGTGAACAAAATTAATTTTAAAAAATGAGAGTGTTCATTGTGAGCAAAGGCCATGTTAAGAACCACTGTACTGAGACATAAGACGGAACTAAAGAGCTAAGAATTGGATGACAAAAGCAAAGAAAAGCTTGAAAACGAAGCTGGAGTTAGATATTTATCCTTCTCGGTGCTGCACATTGAGTTTTCACTATTCATGTTTGACCCAAGCTTTCCAGGCTGTTGCCATTGCTCTCGGGGATAGTTCCAGTCTCACAGGAACTGATGGATGGGTCAGAGGATGAGAGATAGAGAGACCCAAGTCTTGTGTTCAGTTGTTGTCTTGTTGAGCATGTGTGCTAGGCTTAATACTGAAGTAAGAACATTTTGTGAGCCACCATGTGGGTGCTGGGAATTGAACTCAGGACCTCTGGAAGAGCAACCAGCGCTCTTAACCTCTGGGCCATCTCTCCAGCCCCATAAGAACATTTTGTACATGGTCTGACAGTGAGACAGCGAGGGAGCAACATTATATTGGTTTGCTCATGTGTGAAAGTGATTTCAGAGCCAATGGATCCCCTGGGAAGTTCTGCAGAGATGAAGAACAAAGGAATGGGTTGTTTTGAATTTTTAATGAATTTTCATCATGTACTTTGATGGTACTCACCCCTGTATATTTACACCATGAAATATTCTGCTGCTCAGAAAAACAAATTGATGACAGTCAAAGGTAAATGGATAAAGTTAGAAGCCGTCATCTCGAGTAAACTAACACAGACCCAGAAAGACAAACAACACATTTTCTCTCATTTGTGAGTGCCATCCTTGAATCTTCAGACATATGTGTTCCACTTGAAATAGCTGCAGAGGTCAGAAAATTAGTAAGAGGCCGTGGAGGGGGCACTTTCAAGGGAGAGGGGCAGAAAACAGTGTTTTAAAGGGTTGCAGGGAAATAATGGAACTGGAAGGGTTAAGTTGGGCTGAGCCATTTTGAGGGAAGTGGGAGGAACATGGTCTAATACAGCCTTGTGTACGAGCTCTGCCACATCCACACTGAACACCATGGGAATTAACAAACAAGCCAAGGGTATATGGTGCCAGCGTTTGGAAAACAAGGGCCAGTAGTTATTAGTATTTGGAAGACCTTTTAAAGCCTAGAAGTCCAGATAAACAACACAAAATAAATAATCTATAGTTTGACAGCGTAAAATATAAATTTCTGTGCACCCAAAGCCATTATAAACCCAGCTGAAATGCAAGTAAGAGCCTGGGAAGATGATTGGAAGTAGTATACAGTTATCGTAGATGAGTGATTAATGTCTTCATGGAATAGAGAGCCCTCACAGATCAATAAGAAAACCGCACATGTCCTAAGTGAGCATGGATCACCTTAAGTCTTTAGGTTGCTCAGCAGCAGAAAAAGAAATAGAATAGAAAATGGATACTGTTCTCACTATGAATAAGGGCTGTAGAAATAGCTTAGTGGCAGGGTACCTGCAGACCAACATGCTCTGGTTTGATCCCCAGGGAGGCTGTGCATGCATGCACGTGCACATGCACGCGCGCGTATACACACACACACACACACACACACACACAGAGGTATACACAGACACTTGTGAAAATGCTAAGATATATCTCAGTGTTAGAGAAAAAAGGCACTTAAATAAACTGTATGATTAATTATTTTTTGATGAGCAATATATATTTTTGCCCTCATAGAAGAAAGATGATGAGCAAGTACCATGAAGAAGAAGGCTTTTCCTTAGAGATTTATTTTGCTGAGTTTCACTTAGGGAAATTAGCAGTTATAAATGGTAAGATTTTTATGCCAGGATATTATTGAAAGGTTAGGTGCACCTGAAAAACAGAAAGCAACTTAAAAATTTCAAAAATCATTTGAGAATTGGAGTATCGACTTAGTGGCTAAGAGTACATACTGCTGTTGCAGAGGACTCAAGTTCAGTTCCCAGATCAGGCAATTAACAACTGTGTGTGCATGTGTGTGATTACAACTGCCTGTACCTCCAACTTCAGGGGAATCAGATACCTTCTGGCCTCTAAAACTATCTTCATGCACATGCATATATGCATACATAAAAATGCATCTTTAAAATGTAAGTGTTTGAACAGATTTTCTGGTGAAAATGTGAAGACTAGAATGAAGATGCTTCCAAGACCAGTATATGGAAAGATAATTCCATATTAAGGAATATAAGCAGCATATACCATGTACACGGTCTAATCCTAACCTTCCTCCAGAGCTGTATGTTTTTGAGTTTTGTACTGAGGTTGCTTGTTGGTTCCAGGCTTCTCAGCAGCTCAGGCCCTAAATAATCACCCCAAAACAATTATTTAAACCACTGCTTGGCCCATTGGCTCTAGCTTCTTATTGGCTAACTCTTACATATAAATTTAACCCATCTCCCTTAATCTGTATATCGCCACATGGCAGTGGCTTACTGCATAAACTTCCAGTGTCTGTCTCTGGCGGGGCTACTAGGCTTCTCTCTGAGTCTGCCTCCTTTCTCCCAGAATTCAGTTTAGTTTTCCCTGCCTACCTAAGTTCTTCCCTAACAACAGGCCAAGGAAGTTTTTTTTTTTTTTATTCACTAATGATATTCACAGCATACAGAGGGGGATTCCACATCAGTTGAGTGTACTGAAAGAGAACAAACAACCCACATTTCAGTCTTTCTTTAACTTTCCTGTAAGTAATTAGGATCTACTCGTGTGTTTTGCACATTTGCTACAGCGAACACTCATTGCATTAGACTTACTTAGAAGATTCAGTGAGAAAATGTGGCTAAGACACCAAGGTTAATATAAAGATTTTACAATGTCTACTTCCTCCTGTTTTCTTTTTAGAACATTGAACTGAGGTTTGAAATTGCAAATTGAATTATTAGGGTCTGAGCTATGGCTCAGCGGTAGACTGCCTGTTGCGTGTGAGGTCCCAGGTTCGATCCCTTGTAAAAGCAAAAAAAATTTTTTAAAAAAGATTGACTTCTCTATGACTTGTGAATGCATTTTCAAGACTGACAAAAAATGATTTTCTTCTAACATCAGTTCGTACAGCTTTTAATAGAGCAAAGATCATGTTCAAGTGAGAACTAACTGGGAAGTCAAATCTTTATTTACATTCTCTGTAGATGAACAGATCTAATTGGAATGCTTAGGCTTCTATACATGTTACTGTATTCAGACAGGAAATGTGCTTGGTATCTGCGGTGCTATAGTAGCATTTTATAAAAAGCGTAGTCAGCCTTCACCTTCCTCTTGATGTGCCTAATAAATGCAGAGAGGATCTGGAGTTGTCTCTTTGGCGGGGCAGATGCTATTCCTGACGTCATCTCATGGTATCTCACGCATAATTAGGCTTTTGGTTTGTCTGTGCCTGGACGCTATGGCCCTTGGCAAATGGTCCGGACAGTAATGAACCTTGAAAGATGATAATGGATTTGTCATGAGAGCTGTGGATGAATATGGATTCTGAGAACTGTGTATTCCTGTGCCTGTGTTTGAAAACACAGGTGTTTGCAGTATATATTATATAAAATCATCTTCATTACAACTTCTCATTTCTATCTCTTGAGTATAATCATTTCAAATTGAAGGTCATACTTTTTTTTTGTACAAGTTCATCTTGTGTGTGCTGTGGATTTACGTCTCTGCATAGAGGAGAAACCCAGAGGAAAGATATCCTACTCTGTCCCTTGCCACCTTATTTCTTTGAGGTGGGGGTCTCTTGTTGAACCTATAATGTGTTTCTCAGCTAGGCTGCAATCAGCAGATACCAGCAACCCTCATATCTCTGCCTCATACAGTGTTAGATCACATCCTGCTTTTATATGGGTGTGGGATGTGAACTCAGGTCCTCAGGGTAGTGAAGCCTGGGCTCTTATCCACCGAGCCATTTTCCAGTCCCTTACAAGCTCATTTTTAAGCACCATATTGAGGCTATTTTATTCCTTTGATTTGGTTTGATTGAGTACTTATCTAAGCATTCTCTGAAGCTGTGTTCTTTTTCTACTGCATTTTACTATATTCTCCTAAGTTAGTCCCAATGTTTTTGGTTTTGAGTGCATTGATAATGTGTGTTTTTAAGCTATTGTCAAGGTAAATATGAGAGTGAGAGATATTCTTCATTCTTGTTAACTGTTTGCTTTTTTTTGTGTTTTTCAGGGTGACTTTGGATCCTGTAACTCACGAAGCTCTCAAAAGGTGATGAAAACACTTAAACTCCACAAGTAGTTTGCTTTCTGTGTGCAAGTTTCCTTTTTTTCAAGGTAGCTATAAAAAGGATCTGAATTTATTTACATATAGAAAATAATTTGAAGTCTTTATCATTTTATTATTTTATTGTAATGTTGGGGTGCCATATGGTACTATTCCTGGGGATAAGTCAACAGACATCTACTTACTTCAGAAGAAGAATTGACAATAGATCAAAGCAATGATAACAACCAAAGTTAACTAGGGGAATCAGTGGATTTTATTGGGGTTACGTACAAGAGTTTGGATGAGGGGTTACTTACAGAAGCAGAAATACCTCAGTCAGCTGCATCACCAAAGCTTACCCTAGCATGGATGAAAGCTCACAAAAGCGAGAAATTTGGAACACACTGACTGCACAGTCTATGGGCAGCTCAACAAGTTGGAGAGTTTCCTTTCTGGGGCAAACTCTGTGGGTGTGAGCCTCTTTCAAGCAGCTCAGGTATTCTGAGAATGTCTGGCAGCTGTCCTTACTGCTTGCATACACTCAGGAAAGGTTGGACCTAGTAAATCTGATCAGTTCCAGGGACTTCCTGGTGTGTTTGAGTTGTTTACTTCCTGAGCTTAATGAGTTTTTCTGTAGGATGGAATTTTTTTGCCTCCCCTTAGACCATCTTGTATCTTAGTTAGCTTCCTTGAAAGATGAAAGGTTTTTGTCTCACAGGCAATTACTATACAATGTGTGGAACAAACCCAGGGGCATTGTGAATGCTAGGCAAGCATGTTAGCACTGCACCTAGCCCCTCAAGGCTTTATAGCTTTACGTAGGAGACCTCTTGGTCAATTGGTCACGTGATTATGGTAGGACTTCACTATGGGGTCCTCTGCTGTCTACTCCATCTGGTCTTCAGTGCAACACTCTGAGGATTTATTTGGTAGCATGTACAAAGTAATCCTGTCCGTTGGCAATAGATCTATAGATGATACAACGTTTGGCTTAGCTCTCTGTTATGTTTGGAAAGTCTACATGGGGGCTGGAGGAGCAATGGCTCAATGGTGAACTTGCTTCTCTGCAAGCGTGATCCACAATTCAGATTTCTAGAATCCACATCACTGTTGGACAGGCATGGTAATCTGCCAATAGTTCCAGCCTTGAAAGGCAGGAATGAATAGAGGATCCCCAAGGGCAAGTTGCCTCGCGAGACTGGCCATATTTGGAGCTCTTGGTTTGAAAGACCCTGCCTTGATGGGCCTCCATCCCCATGCACATACATATGCCCCTATACATACATGTGAACATGCATATACATGTGCATGACACACACATACATATGAAAATGAAAAATAAATACATGGTCAAGTATTTGTTTCTAGACCCAGCACTGGAGCAGAAGGTTGACACGTGGTCTCAGTGGTGCCACAGCAACAGCTGCAGTGATCTGAGGTACCTACCTCACGTGGAAGGGTGTTGGCAGTCACTTCCTCCACCCCTGTTGAAGTCTAAATTCCCACTCTCCTCATCACTGACTCCATCATCTCCTTCTAGACTCTCAGCATGTATCTTTCCAATACTCATTTTAGCCTCTGGTCTTTGTGTCTGAAGTGTGGGAGGTTATTTGCTCTTCCCCACCAGCGGGGTAAAGTGAGGGTAAATATGGAGTCTGTTTGATTGCCAACTCTCTGCACTGAATTCTCTTCACACCGAAGCAGCGTTCATAATAGTGTCTTCCTCAGTAGTTTGATGTCTTGAGTATTTAAGTCAGCGCTGAATTCAATACATGTAAACAGGCGAGTTAAGAGTGCGTTTTCTAGGATGACATCTGCCTTCATGTGTTTGGGAATTATTAGAATGAACTATGTGAAGTGACCGTTCTGGTAGTTAAAAATACCGTATTAGTAATTCATGTGATGAAATAATCCTATAAATAATTCTACTTCATGTCCATGAACAATGGATTATGTCTCTGTGACATATGTCCCACCATGTCTTTTAAAATGCAAGTACACTTGAACTGTCTTCCTGAACTGATACATTCTTCTTAGTTGTGCGGCAAATCATTCAAGAATGACAAGGCAGTCTGTTAAAATTTTTTCACTTTGTTCCTTGGCTTTGTCATAAGCAGGATGTTACATTGTGTCTGGCTAGTGTCATTATTGTCTATGTGATAAGATAAAGTCAGATTTATCTCACCGTGTAACTATTTACCATAACTATTTACCATCTTCATGAATATGTTCTACTCTTTGAGTTACTTTTGCATGTTTTTGTGTATTTTTTCTTAGCAATTTTAAGATGTGCATTAGTTTTTTTTTCTTGCTATGTGACAAAATGTATGACAGAAAACAAGGAAGGGTGCAAGGGTTTATCTTAGCACACAGTTTGGTGCATCATGAGGAAGGGATGAGGGCATGAGCTTGAAGCAGCTGGTCACATGGCAAGTGTAGTCAGGAAGCAGAGAGGAGTACATGCTGGGGCTCAGATAAATTTCTCTTTTGCATTCAGTCTAAGACCCTGGCCTAATATGTGGTACCGCCCACACTCAGGGTAGATCTCCCCTTCTCAGTGAACATTGACAAGAACACGGCAGAAAATCCCTCAAGAACCTGCCCCGAGGTTTGTTCTCATGATTCTAAATCATATCAAGTAGACGATCAAGATAAGTCCCCCAGGGTCAAGCATATGAAATCCTTTAAGAATAACAAATTGATTCGGACTCTGAAATGTTGTACCCAGGACAGCGATCCTGCTGGTGACCATCCAGAGTTGAACAAACATGCCATCATTTTAAGCTCAGACTGGCCTTTATGGGTCAAGTCCAGAACTCTCTCACCTTCTATCACTGAACACTTTGAATTGGTAGTGTTCTGAATGGCACACTCAAAAGAGACAGGAGTGTCATCCAGCTTCCCCGAAGTCCAGTTGTACATTGAAGACTGTGTTTTTCAAAAGCTTTTTCTATGCTTTAGAATTTGAGCTCTTTGGATGAGGTGGCTGAGGCCACTTCTTCTCAGCCCCCTTCTTCTCTCCCCCTTCTCTTTCCTTCCCTTTCACTGAATAAACCATATTCAAACTCAAAAAAAAAATGAGACCTAGTGTCATTGATAATGAGTATGATTTTTCAAACAAGTGGAACGTGAGTTTGACCATGAATAGGGCGTAGGTCATCATTGCTCAAGATCATAGTATTTTAGTTTGTCTTCAAACTTGGATGAGTTCACAATTCTTTATGTATAAATTGGAATTGGCTCTGCAAACATCTTTGTGCATGGTTCATTTGCCCTGCGCTGGGCATTTTGATAACTCCTGGAGGGAATTCATGGCTAAGCCAACTTTCGTAGCAAGCTTTTGTTTGGTTTCATGCTGTCTTTGCTGAAGGACTGACTTTGTACCCATGTTGCTGAAGACACTAAGTAGCTACTCACCGAACCTGTCTAAAATTATTTTATTCTCTAAATATCATCTCTGTCTTTTTGATAAAACATGGTAATTGTGCATATTTATAGGGCTCAAGAGAACATTTTAATCCATGTTATGCAGTGTGTTATGAACCAGTCAGGTGCTTGGAAAATATTTTGCCTCAGACATCTGTCATTTTTGCTGGGAATATATTTTTATTATTGATTTTGAAATTTTTTACACCAGCCATTGCTATACTGTGATACCTATTGTTAAAACCACTTCTTCTAACATATTCTCTCTCTCTTTTTCTCTCTCTCTCTGTATGTGTGTTATTGACCAAACTGGGATGATTTCTTTAGAGGTTCTAACATCAGCAGCACCTTAGTTAAATGGGTAAGAAAACTAGGGGTAGGGTGGGGGACTCATACCTTTTGTCCCCAACAGAAAGAGATTCTTCTGGATATTTTGGATGTCCCAGAAACATTTCCTCAAGCCTCTAGTTATATGGAGGGAAACTCCACTGCTTCCTGTCTTGGAAACCTGCCTATCCTAGCCTCCCAGCCTCCCTTCTCTTCTCCTTATCATTATGGTATTTCAGGGAATGTGTATCCCAGTAGGGAGAGTTCTGGGCTCCATAGAGGTACCTCTTCTGAACTCCCCTCCACTCCTCCAGGGGTTTTTACTGGTCTACCCCACTGGTGCCCACAAAATGATGTTTGAGATCTCAGAAGATGACTTGGAATCCTCTCTCCGAACTTGTTTTGGAATCACATTACATAGGTACGATAGGCAACTCCTCCTACAGTGACCAATGATGCCATAGGATGGAAGGGGAGGCAGGAGGCCACCCTACATCTATTCAGAGGTCAACTGAGTTGAATGCTGAGATCAATGAAATAAGAAAAGCATCTATAAGTTGACGGGAGCCTCAATTGTTAGGTGTACTGTTTGCTTCCTTCCTGGGATTGAACCATCCCGCACTGTGGTGGTTGGAATGAGAATGGCCCTCAAAGGTTCATATATTTGGGTGCTTTGTTGTCTCTGGTTGATGGAAATTTTTGAGAAGGATTAGGAGGTGTGGTCTTGTTGGAGGAGGTATTACCAGAGGCAGGCTTTAAGGTTATATCATTTTCAGTGAGCTCTCTCTGCTTGTGGATCAGAACATAAGCTCTCAACTACAGCTCCAGTGCCATTCCTGTCTGCCTGCTGCTTTGCTCCCTGTCATGATGGTCACGGACTCTAATGCACCCTTTGAAACTGTAATCAAGGCCACAGTAAGATCTGTTCTTCTGTAGCAGTGGTTCTCAACATGTGGGTCCAGGTGTAGTCAAGTTGACACCCAAGAATAGCCACCGCAAAGCCCTAGCATTGAACTTGGGGGATGTAAGCAGATGCCTTCTATACTGTTAGAGGCCATAAAGCAATGGTTCTCAACCTGTGGGCCATGATTTCTTTGGGGATCAAATGATGCTTTTATAGGGGTTGTCTAAGACCACCAGAAAAACACAGATGTTTATTTTACATTGCAATTTATAATAGTAGTAAAATTAGTTATGAAGTAGCAATGAAAATAATTTTATGGGTGGGGGTTCACCACAACATGACGAAC